TTTTCCAGATGTCCTGAAATGTTTTCGACAACCGTCGCAAATACAGAGTTCACAAAGAAAGTTCTGTGGAAATGCTTTTAATGAGGAAGAGATACCTTGGGTTTTAGTTACAAAAAACGGGATGCACTTCCGTTCGGAGAGGATGGAGAAGAGGTTGAAGAGTATCGTTGAAGACATTTAAAGACTACACCCTGTCATTCACGTTCTAATGGTATTGCAGAGAATTTCGTTACAATACTCTGTGCAGCATTGAACTGCACAAAGCTGAGTACATTTGTAGCACTCAAAAGCTTTGTAGATAACATCTTGCTGCAGTATAGTACTATAAAAGATAGTACAGTTATGCTTTTTAAAAATCGACAACTAAGAGCTTAGCTTCGATGTTTGCATATTTCTGCATTAATATTCATCAAAGGTAAAGAGTGCGTTCCTGATAAGCGTGTAACCATGAAAGCTACTGAAAACCGAATAGTGGAAAATGTTGATTTAGATGACAGTTCGTTACATCGTGATTGAAAAAGATTTTAACGGATCTGGTCAAAAATCGCATGTGTTCTACAACACAACCTACCTTTATGCAAAGTAGTTACTTACCTTGTTCTAAATTTGTTTGAAACAAAAGGTTGGCATTATTGATTATAATATGCTGACTGAATTTCTTTGAGGTGCTATAGATAAAAAAGAAAAAATTAGACAATATATAGAGTAAACCGATAAGTAACTCAAATATTCTATTTTTTTTATTTTACTTTCAAAGATGAAATACTTTAAACAAAAAGTTCTTGTTTCGATTCTACTGAGCTTGTAGGACAGTAATAAAATCGGAGATAAATCATTGAATAACGACTGAGATGCCTTTAGATGCGTGGGGCCACATGCATCTAGAGTGATGGTACCAGGGGCTGGGAACCTGAATCAAAAAGGTTGGACGAACTGTTTCATCATCGTCAAGAGTGCGATAGGGGCATGCGATTATTAATCGATGTAAGTGAGGAATTCTTACCAAGTGCAAGTCATAAACTTTCGCGGATTTTATCCCCGCGCTTTATACACACCACCCATCGCTACTATGGATCCAATGGTTTAGTGAAGCCATCGGATTGGTGTTGTTGCAGTGGCTTAACCGTTCTACTGAAGCCGAGAAAACTACCTAACCTCACGGCTTAGAAAAAGTAAAAGTCGTAAGGAAAGTTTACGCAGCTGAACCTGTGGAAGGATCACTACCAGACGTCACTACATCTATCCATACTGCTGCTGCTGCTGGATTCAACATAGAACTTGGCACCGAAGTGCAGCAGTTCAAGTTGCCACGTTCCAAATAGCACACAAAGGTAGACAAGAAGATGAGTGAAGAGAATCAATAGAGTTTTGACAAGTATAAGAGTGAAACAGAATGAGTAATGGTAGAAAGGAATATGAAGGTTAAAGAGACTGAATACATCTGCGTAAGCCATTGACAACGATTTTGAGCCATGTCACCTACTGTCTCCAGCCATTGACTTTTAGAGTCCCGAAGGCCCCAACCCGAAAGTCTGCATCTCCCTACCTGACTCAGTTTAACTGTCAGGGATTTCATGGATTGATGCCATGTTTTTATTTGGCCACCACTTACTCTTTTCCAACCTGCACCTATATCAGCTAGTAATGCCCGTCGGGGGAGACGATGGTTAGGCATGCGCAGCACGTGACCTGGCCATCTCAATCTATGTAACTTCATAGCCTCTTCGAGTGATTTTCCCTCTTTGCCCAACACTCTACGCCTAACGTCAACATTACTTACCTTATTATACCACCTAACGCGAGAAAGAGATCGTAAACATCTGTGGTCAAAAACAGACAATCTCTTCATGTCTTCCGCTCTCAATGGCCACGTCTCACCGCCATAGAGAAGGACGGAGCGAACTGCTGAGCAGTATACACGTCCCTTGGTTGACAGTCGGATGTCACGCCTACGCCAGAGACGGTGTAAGTTAGCGAAAGCAGCCCGAGCTTTCTGGATCCGTGCTATGATTTCGTTACCAATCAATCCGTTGGTGCTGATACAACTTCCCAAATAGGTGAAGTGGTCAACATGTTCTATCACTTCACTCCCTATCACTAAGCTAGGAGTTGACGTAGTCCAGTCCTGTAGCAGCATCTTGCATTTCACAGGGGCGAATCGCATGCCAAACATACGAAGATTGCTGCTCAAGGTGTTCAGAAGACTCCATACAATACACAATAAGTGAGATTATACGTAATATAAGGTAAGGAGAAAAATTCTGTAATATGGGTGAATGAAGTCAGGGTATGCTCTTAGACATAACAGAAACTAATGGTTAGAGACTATACATGATTTGTCTCACAACTGTTCACAATAGTGCAGATGAATTCAGCATTTACTGTGATTTTTAAAAAATGTACAATTGCACCAATCTTCAAAGTGTGACACTCTGAGGAAGATTCAATCAGACACCACCGGAACATTTCGCAGGTTGATGAATATGGCAATTATCAAGTGTTGGTTTGCAGGGATTTGATCGGGTACAGGTTTGATCTCAAGTTGATATCAGAGAACTATTGGAAAACTTAGGCGTACTAATGCTCCGCAGCGACTGGAGCTATACAGGAACCTGCCCAGAGTGCCAATGAGAAATCATAACCAGCGGGGTCCATCGAGTCAGTTAAGAGAACAGTTAGCCGCCTATGGCGATGGCTGGTGGTTGAGCTATATATTTCGCAAATCGGCAGCAGTTAGATTTCATTGACCACTGGATAGGGTCCAAGTGTCTGAATGGTCTACGAGCTCGCCTTATAACCGGGAGGTCCTGGGTTCGAACCCAAGTGGGCGCGTACTAGTGAAGAGTCCCAAACTATGACGAAACAGCTGTCCAGTGCTTCCTGGTTTCTAACGGTTCTCTAAGTGTTGTCAACTAGTGATCGAACCCATAACAGACATGGTACTTGTATGGTGCTGACAAATACACTTAAATTCCGCAACTTTTCGATGAGTGAAGATCTGAATATGACTTATGAACTAAGTTGTTAGCCACAAATTACGCATAAATATATTCATACTCCATGATTTGAAGTCTCTGACTTTGCTATTACGTAAGATTTGATACTTTTTATATTGAATGTCTTTAAACGAGTTAAGATTTTTGGACATGCAGAGAATTTCCATAATTTCAGATGTGTTACTTAATTTTGCTTAATTAAAATCCAGAAATGTATAACATTTATTCACGTCGGTATTAACCTTCAAATTTAGACGTTTCGACCACCGCGCTTTCAGTCTCAAAAAGAAAGCTAACTGATATTTAAATATTTTTGATTGAACACTAGTCAGTAACTAGTGTAATGTGTCTAGTCCTATCTTCGGTGCAGACTGAATTCTATCAGTCATGTTTGCAATGTGGCCACCATGCTAGGTGGCTCGCCATTACGGTGCACTGTGAATTGTTGGTATTAGATGGTTGGAGGCAATCGGCAGGAAGCCTTGGACCTAGGTTTCGTGCTAGTTGGCACTCATCAGCAAGGCGTATCTGCAACCTTGAAGGAACTGATGTCCCTTCTGAGATTCGAACCCGCGTCACCCAGTGCTGCAGTCAGAGACGTTACCACTGAGCTATTCAGGCTCGCGATACAATACAGTCCTACAGGAGGTCAGTCGCGAGCCTGAATAGCTCAGTGGTAACGTCTCTGACTGCAGCACTGGGTGACGCGGGTTCGAATCTCAGAAGGGACATCAGTTCCTTCAAGGTTGCAGATACGCCTTGCTGATGAGTGCCAACTAGCACGAAACCTAGGTCCAAGGCTTCCTGCCGATTGCCTCCAACCATCTGATATTTAAATATGTTTGTTATACTCCGTTTGAAATGGTCTTCACAATGTAGTAAACTGTTAGTGCAACACAACGAACCGACCCACGTACTTATGTATCAGGTCACAGGCCGCACTAAATTCTACCCGATTATTCAGGCTAAAGCATATGGAGTGTTGTTGAATTCAGAATGCAGTAGCCAAAAGCCAAATATACTTGAAACAAATAAACAGTATCACCATGATATATTAAATGCCAGTGATGGATAGTGAATAACCACCTATTTGTACTACTCACAGGAACCTTAACAAAAAGACAATCATATTTAAAGCATACAAGCTGAGAAAATGTAGAACATTCGACAATGGTGAAAGTGTTTACACCACTTGCTGAAGAGTATTTCACTAACCTCGCATCTAAAGTAAGCACTTCACTGAGGCTAATTTTTATCCCATAGAAAAATTCGATACAACCAAACAAAGCCTGGATAAACAGTTTAAAAATTAAAACAAAAGCAAATAAGTAGCTTAGATGTGAAGAAATGTTTTATAGTTGAAATAAATAACATTATATTTCCCTTCATACCTTGAGTAAAGCCGGTTTGCTTCATAATACACACAGTATAAAATGTTTATACATCATTATGTACAGTAATGAAATTTATGAATTCAGAATAACCTTAATTCCTTTATGTTTATCACTTTCTATGAATTTCAGTATACATCGGAAAGAAGCTTCTAGAAGAGTAAAACAAACCTACACATACGCTCCATGTTTGGTTAACATACTGCCTAAACTTTACTGCAGGGACATTAGAGTCGACTTGTTAATAAAAAACAAAATACGCTAGATAAGAACGTTAAAAATCCAACCAGAATAAAAAAAGACTTACTTTCAAAAAGCTACTCACAGCTTCCTCTCCGTTTTTATTTTCATTGGATAGCTTACAAAATTCTAAATCCAAATACAATTTAGCCGGTGTGTCTAAAATAAATATATTTAAAGAGACACAAGACGAAGGTGATAGCAAAATAACATTCAAAAGACAATACTGAAATTAATTTCTGACATTCGATATAACGTTTAAATAAGAAGGACGATGAAGATGATGAGGAATGTGATTAACCCTGGATCACATCCCTCAGAAGCCTCATTTAATGACACCAAAAATTCACGGGATCTGAACAGAAAAATATATTGAATAAAAGGATTTAAATGACAGAAATCCAAGGACACAAAATTGATTTATTAGGGCAGCTGACATCCACAGAAAGCTGAATGTGAACAGATTTTAAGAGTCATGACACTCGTTGATGCCAGCCATCAACGATTTCTTTCATACCATTCAAAATGGACTTTATTCCTTGATTCTTGATATGCAGACGATCAATTCATACAGTTCCAAATATGGAGCGTCGCCAAATGATTTAACTTAGGGAAAAATTCCTTCATAATAGATAACTTAATAATTGTTCATCAAGAAATAAAAATACTTACATAATCTTTACTTATTTTCGTTTTTTGATAAGCTAATTATTTTAAGACTAATTATTAGATATTAAAGTTATCCGATTGTCTCCATATGAAACTAAAGGTTAGCCAGAGGTTAAATATAAAAATGTTACAGTCTTACTCTGACGATGCGTCGGTGGTTCATTGGCAGAACACTGGCCAACCAAGCAAGTGGTCCGGAGTTCGATCCCCAACCAACGCACTCCTTAACCTCGTTTAGCCGACAGTAAGCACGTAAAGAGGGAAGGGTGGTTGTGAGGCTAGCAGCCTCATCCAGTAAAAATAAAACCATTGCTACTGAAACTTCAAAAACGCTGGACTGAAGCGTTATGTTCCACTCGGAAAGCAAAGGAATAAAAAAAACCTGATGATATAATTATTCCTGGGTTCGAACCCCAGTGGGCGCGTATTGCTGAGGAGCCCCAAACTAGGACGAAACAGCCATCCAGTATTCGCAGGTTTTCCAATGGTCATCTGACCGATGTCAGTTCATGACGAAATCCTGAAACGAATAAAATATTTTAGAATATGAAAAAAAATTGTAAAGGAAGCAACCGTGCATAAACTCACCTACCATGATCACTTCATAGTGACACCGAGAAGAAGGATCCATTTGCCTAATTAAAATATTAAAAACAATGCTATAAAGTACAACAAGTACCTCAAAGATATTAATCACACTTAAGACAATTGTGTAATTTAGCAGACAACCATGATATCAGCTACATACCAAACATGTAAAGCAAGGAAATATTAGTTGGCACTTAAACCGATATTGCGAGCTATGTATATTGGTTAGTTCATATCAAACACATGAATAAACGAAATTTGTGACTGATAGAAGGATTATTTTTTATTTGACAAGTTACTAGCGAAGAAACTTTATTTGAAACTAAAGATATACACCCTCCCACCATACTTTGAAACCAAAAAAGTGAACAGATTTGCGGCAAACATAAATAGTACGTACGCCTAGATATGGAAATATATGAGTTCTTGAAAAAAAAAAAGTATTACTAAGTTTCTCAATATTTTATGAGTAGTCGAACTGAATTTATGGATAAGGTTTGCACACTTCAACAAGGCCTCACTTATCGATTGTACAAGAACAAGTGACACTGGTTATTTTTTTATACCCTAAGTGTACCCCGTCATATTTTCATGCATCTAAATGACTACAAAGTGTGTGAATACAACACTTTACCTATGATTTTTGTTCTTTTGACGTCAATAAATGTGAGAAAAACTGAACAAGTGTGCTGTACAAAATAAAATAAGAGAAGAAAGATCGCCAAAAAATAACAGAATGAGCACCTAAGCACTTCCCACTAGGAACATGCAAGCGAGCGTTAGTCACTTAGTGTTACTTCCGACAGTTCACAAAGTGAAGTATCATTCCCAATAATTACAATCCCTAACACCATCTAATAATGCTTCAAGTTCCTAGACTGTATGATCTCTTGGGCCCCCAACAAAGGAGTTGTGAAGCACCAACAAATTCCATTGAGGATAAAATTTATTTTGATAAAGTCTCACAGTGTTATACAGTAATATTTACTGGTGACGTTTCGAGCATAATTTATTACTGCTCATAATCATATCAAAGCACTACTCACACAACTTTCCAACTTCGTTTATATGATTCCACTATTTCTCATCTCTTGATTTGATTGGTATTAGTATTTCCCATATTTCCAGTGTGAGTGATGAGTCATTCCTATTGAACGTGTTGGGTGTAGATTCTATGATCAAAGATTCAGTAATCAATCTCTCTCTCCATCTACCCATATTACTCTTTAGAATTTTAACTCTGTTCCACCCTATTGTGTGGTTGTGTGTTAATGCATGCAGTGCAATTGCTGAGCTTTTTTATAAATTACTTACCTTCGTGGGATCAATCATTCTAACCTTAGCTAAATTCTTTTGTTCTGATAATCTGATTACCCTCGACCTACTAGTTTGACCTATGTAGTTGACTTAACTCACAGTCATTGCAAGGTATTTTGTAAATTATATTATTTTGTCTAATTGGGTCCACTGGGTCCTTTAACCTACAGAGCTTGTCCTATCTGAGTGAGTTTGTAGGTTTAAATGCCACCCTAATTCCTGCTTTATCAAGAATCCTACATAGGGTTTCAGATGTCCCTTCCTTATATGGTAAAGCTGTAGATGCCTTATATTCTTTCTTACTTATGTTATCATTAAAATTTCCCCATTATTTTTATTTTGCTTTTGACCTTTTTTGGTCTTCCTAATGAATTTTATAGGATAGTTATTTGATACCAACGCTTCTTCTATCTGTTTTATTTCATCATTTATGTCTTTTCTGTGTGCGTCGGTGGCATAGCGGTTAGGACGCTCGCCGACCATGCACATGGTCCGGGGTTCGATCGCCGGCCGACGCACTCCTTTACCCCGCTAAGCCAGAAATAATGCTGGTGAAGAGGAAAGGTTGGTATCCGTAAACTCTAAAACGAAGCCCTATGTTCCACTGGAACGTGAGAAAAAATGCGTGCTACTTAGTGCTACTGCTCGGTTTGTTAGACACTTAACTAGGCCTACCTTTACAGATAACGGATGAAATGAATTAAAATCTAAATATCTATTAGAATGCGTTGGCTTTTTATAAACGCTGTTGTGAAGTTTACCTTCTTCTATTCGTTTTATTTTGCAGTCTAACATAGCTAATTCTCCTTGTTCATTTTCCGATTCAAATGTGAATTTTATTCCCCGCGAAGGTAAGTAATTTATAAAAAAGCTCAGCAATTGCACTGCATGCATTAACACACAACCACACAATAGGGTGGAACAGAGTTAAAATTCGAAAGAGTAATATGGGTAGATGGAGAGAGAGAGATTGATTACTGAATCTTTGTTCATCGAATCTACATCCAACACGTTCAATAGGAATGACTCATCACTCACACCGGAAATATGGGAAATACTAATACCAATCAAATCAAGAGATGAGAAATAGTAGAATCATATATAAACGAAGTTGGAAAGTTGTGTGAGTAGTGCCTTGATATGATTATGAGCAGTAATAAATTATGCTCGAAACGTCACCAGTAAATATTACTGTATAACACTGTGAGACTTTATCAAAATAAATTTTACCCACAATGGAGTTATACTCTATCACAGTGCACAAGTTCTATTCTTATATCAAAGCACCAACAAATCCTAACTTAGCAGTAACTACCCTTAAAAACGCTAAATCACGTCATATGCTGATCACTTGACTATCAAATATCGCTAATACATGACTATGAGTCACTGGTTAAATAAAACAAAGAACAGCATAACTACCAATCCCTGAGCAACATCAGTCAGTCGACAACTAAAAAAGCATTTTTACGTGTGAATAGGCACGCCAAAATATGCGAGAAACGATAAATATTTAACTAATCAGTTCATATTAAAAATGAATATCATGCTTCACAGTTAAATGATTACAGAACTTGAACAATATATAACAAGCTGAGAGAAGGCTTACAAAAATAGCGATAACCCGATGGGGCCTCACAGTCTCATCGATTAATTCCTCTTCCCTACCTAACACTCCACACCTTACATCATTGTTATTGACTACAAACCACTACCCAAAATAAGAGACTAAAGGGAGTCACCACCACCCATGGTCTTTCCACTTTCAATGACTATGTCTCACAAAAGCAAAGTAGGACAGAGCGCACTGCTACAAAGCACATACATTTTCCTATGAATAGTAGGATGACATTTCAGAGGAACAGATAAAAAGTTTCCGAAAAGTTTTTTATCCACCTAAAATAATCCATAAAAGTGGATCAAAGTTCATAACTTTTGTTTCCAAAACGTCGCTTGTTAACATACCTAATACTGTGATTAAGGGTGTGTATTTTATGTGGAAAGCACTGGTTATTTTTTCTACCAGCCCTAACTTTACCCGAAGAGTGATTGGTATAGCCAAAAGGCTATAGTAATAAATAAAACATCAATCAACTGATGTCAGGTTAAAACACAATAACCTACAAGTAGTGCCCATTTTGTACAGACCCACAGAGTGCACAGAGCGCACTAACCTCACAGGAAAATTTAAATTTACCATCAATTGTAGTCATGAAACATACTTGTAAGAGTGGAAGAATGAATGAATCCCAGAGGCTAGAAACATACGCTGACCTTCGTTTCCAACAGATAAACTTTCATAACTGAACACCATCATCCCCTGACAACAACAAAAAAGATACTGCTATCAAAAAGTGCAGTAGTAAAAGAACCAATCAAGGGGAAATATGACCGTAAAATAAATATATAAGGCAATAAATTAGAAACAGTACCATAACTTTATGTAACTTTGATTCACACCACACAAATCATATTTATCAGTCAAGGGGAAATCGGTCTATGACTAGCTCCCATTTTCACACAACCAATCACCTTTTTCCTGTATCAGGACTAACTATTGAGACAGTTTGTCCTGATGGTTTGGAAGCTGATGAATCCTTTACAATCACACAGTTCAATTTATATGATGAGAAATGACGTAGATTTCCAAATTCAATATGTTAGCACTTAAACTTGAACTGCGTATCCCTTAATTAATCGAAACACAGAGAAACCTAGAAGTAATTCATTTACAAACATATATATATAGTAGTATTCTCAGTAATAAGAATGATCAAGTCAAAGTTGATGGAAATGAGTAAATTATCAACTGTTGGATTTGATTTGATACGGGATCACTAACTAACATCAGTTAGACAACTATTGGAAAGGCAGGGAGTACTGACCAGCTACTTCTTCCTAGTTTGGAACCCTTCGTCAGTACGCATCCACCGGGGTTCGGATCCCAGAACCTTCTCGGTAAAGACAAAAACTGCCTAATCTCATTTGATATAGATACACTTACTCAATGGCCACCTTACAATGATCTAATGCAGTCGTATACTAAATCGGTTTTTATTTGAGGTAACACATTCACAAAGTAGTAGTTTGGTGAGAGCTGTCTGCTAGCCAAAATTGGTAGACAGCAATTTACGTCAATGTTTATGTCGGTGACCATACCACGTTGAAAGCACCGGTTCTCGTCCGATCACCGAAGTTGAGCAGCGTTGGGCTCGGTTAGTACTTGCATGGGTGAACGGCTGGGAATACCGGGTGTTGCCGGCTTTTTAGTGCGTCGGTGGCACAGTGGTTAGGACTATCGCCGACCATGTACATGGTCCGGAGTTCGATCCCCTGCTGACGCACACCTGATATCTATGGTTGACCTGCAAAATTTGGGCTATCGATATCACATGCTGAAAATTACATACCTGTACTAAAAAAATACAATGTGGAATGAAGCTCTAATCAAAAAAAATATCTTGGTCATCAGAAAAAAACAAGAACAAAGACAAACTCAACAACCAATCACAGCAGACTTTGCGTGGGCGGATACGATTAGCAGATCTATCACCGGACTGTCTAAGAAACGGCAACAAAAATATAACAGAATAACCTTCAGCAGGAAAACAACCAATCAGAAGGCGTTATCTCTCTGCTAACAATGACGAATAACAATGTACATAGAAATCTATAAATATCTGTTGATTTTTTCAATAAAGGATCTGTTGCCTGTCCCTTGTCTTCTGTCGTTACGGTAGTATCAGTTATTGGTTCTCAGTTCACTGAATCAACAACTAAGATGCGCAACAAGGATAATTCAATACTAATTCCACATATTTCATCTGAAAAATCTAGCAATTAAATTCAAACAATAATAAGCACCAGAACAACATCCTTTTAAGTCAGAAAGTTGTTCAATTATCTAAATATTATTCAGTGCTTGTAGTGATTGATAATTTTTATTACTGTACTATGTAAATGTTCATTGTTATTTATTTCTGTCTATCGTAAATTTATCAATACAAATAATTCTGGTTGGTTAGTATGAATTTCTGACTTCTGTTATCTGCGTGTTGTTGTCTGGTTTACTGTTATTATTCAGTAATCGCTGATTACAATTACAAATAAATATCACAGTGAGAACAATAGATCTGACAAAAAATTCCTATATGATGTATGCTGTATTAAATAATCTAACCTAATCTAGAATTACATTTTGTACATCGTGTGCAAATACCACCTATGCATGAATTATAGAGATTGTTATGCACAGAAAAGTATGAAAACAACTCAGATCTGTGATCTGACAAAACATAAGCCGATTAACACGGACATCAAATCGACTAGGAAAAAGCAGAAAACAGAAATAGGGAAACGCGGAGAATACCAAGGAATTCTTGGGTGTGTGGTGCTTAGAGTAATCTACACTTAAGAGATATTTTGATATAGATCGAAGTTTTCATTCACATAGTCAATAGGTTAAACATAACCTACTTTTTGAAATATCATGCATCATTTCTTCTTGTGGATATTTTCCACATGTAGGGAGAGCTAACTAGGAATTCGTCCATCACTTAGTACTTGCAGCCGGTAAGCTAAATTATCTAGAGAATATATCAACTAGATACGAATAGATAAGTGAGAAAAGATGTAGTTACAATGCCTAAGTAACGTCACTGAAGCTAAACAATGCAGAAGTGACTTTTTCTACATGCACGACCTTTATTTAGTTTGTGAAGAAAGTTGGGATAGTCATCTAGATTGCCCTTCATAATAGTACAGATAAGAACGATATAATGAAATGTTAGAGTTACTGTACAAAAACAAACGTCGCCTAGATTACTAGCTCACTAGTTTTCTAACCTATCCCATACCCGGAAAAAGAGGGAGGGTTGGGCGCGGGGCCAGCGACCCTACCCCGGAAAATCAATCCAATCGCACAAGAAAAATATATTTAAAAAGCTTATTTTCCGGTGGAATCGGAGAGGCGAAATGACACAGCGGGCTGGTGAAAGCCTTCGGGAAGCCAGTCAGCCAGCCGATGTCTTCTTTCGATAAAAGCAAAAATAATGATGGGGACGTGGAATGTTCGTACGATGTACGCAGCTGGGAAGGTTGCCCAGGTAGCCAAAAAATGAAGAAATACGGCATAAAAGTGTTAGGAATCTGCTAAAGCAGGTGGGATGGATGTACATCATCGAAATTATCAATTGGTGAGTTAGTAATATACTCCGGTTTGGTCACCCAGACGAAAACCATGAGCATACTAAGGGAGTGGCTCTCATGGTGTCACCAGTGGCAGCCAAGACTCTAATGCAGTGGGAACCAATTTCATCCAGGATTATGACAGAAAGATTCAACTCAAAAGGAAGGAAGGTTACAGTCATCCAATGCTGCGTTCCCACAAACAACGCGGAACAAAAGAAGAAGGAAGGTTCTATAGAAAACCGTAAGCAGCAGTGGAAAACATCCCAAATGGTTACGTCAAAGTCCTAATGGGCTATCTGAATCCTAAAGTGGGATCAAACAATACTGTAAGATAAATCATCATGGTCCGAGAGGCTTTTGCTCCGCGAAGTGAATGAGAACGGAGAATTATTCTCAAACTTCTGCGCTTTCAATGATTTGTGATCGGAAGCAGCCTGTACAACCACAAGGATACAACACAAATGAAACCTATAAAAGATGTTCAAGGGAACCTAATTGCCAAGAAGGAGAAAAAACTAAACCGATAGGTTGACCACTTCAAAAGACTTCTTGAATCGACCATCGCCTACAACTCGTCCAGAAATACCATCAACAGCATGTACAGAACTGCCAGTAGACACCAATCCTCCAACAAAAGCAGAAATCTTGAATGTAGTCAAGCTACTGATGGTCAGTTGGGAAGGAGTTGACAGCAGATGGAACTCCTCCTGAAGCACTGGAAGCTGATCCAGAGACAGCAGCGGATGTGCTCACACCACTATTGCAAGAACTTTGGAAGGAAAGAAAGGCACCTACTGATTGGAAGAAAGGCTACCTTGTCAAGCTACCAAGGAAAAGGGAGAATTAAGCGTCTTCAAGAACTGGCGTGGAACCATCCTGTTGTCCACTCTAAGGAAAATATTATCACATCATCCCTGAGAGAATAAAAGATGCACTGGATGCAGAACGCTCCGGAACAAGCTGGATTCAGGAAAAGCAAGTCATGTGCTGATTAAATTGTAACTGTATGCATCATCATCCAACACAGCATAGAATCGCAGTGAAAGTTGTACCTTAACTTCATCAACTTCGAAAAGGCCTTCTACAGACAGCGTTGACCGAGAGGTAATTTGGAAACTGCCTCAACACTATGGTGTGCAGTGCTTAAATCTTTATCAAACTCATTCAACAGCTATATGAAAATGCCACTTGTCAGATGATCCACAAGGGAAAAGTCAGCGAAGTCTTTGAGGTGAGTATAGGAGTAAGACGAGGCTGCCTATTATCACCAATGATATTCCTAGTTGTGATGGGGTGGAAGACAGGAATACTCTGGACCGGTAAGAAGACTCTAGAAGATCTGGATTTTGTGGTTGATTTATGTTTAACGTCACACAAACTCGAAGATTTGCAGACAAAAAAACCAACAACTGGTAGAAGAAGGGGCAAAGATAGGACTTCAAGTGAACATAGAGAAGACGGAGGTGATGGAAACAACCAACCAACAACAACAACAAGAACCAATCACACTCAACATGAGAAATTTGGAAGAGGTCACTTCTTTCAATTATCTAGGCAGCATCGTTTCAACTACAGGCAGCATGGATAAGGATATCAAAACCAGGTTCGGGAAGACGAGGTACACCTTCACCACTCTGAAATCAGTTTGGAAATCTTCTGCACTCTAAGGCATAAACAAAAAGATTTGGATTTTCAACATAAATGTGAAGTCAGTCGGTACTTCTATATGGGTCAGAAACTTGCACTGCACTCGTGTCACGAAAAGGATTTCCAACAGGTTGAAGACTTTTATCAACAGCTGCCTTGGTTGACTCCGTATTGAAGGTCAAATGGCAGGCCAGAAAGAATAAGTGACAAGAAACTCTGGCAACAAGTCAACCAAGAAACTATCGTTTAACAAATATGTAGGAGAAAGTGGAGATGGATCGGGCATACGTTGAGGAGGCCGTCGAATGACACTGAGCGCCAGGTGACTGCTCGAGTGGAACCCGAATGAAAAACGACGAGTTGGGTGCGGGTCCGAGGGTGACATGGAGGAGACGACAGACTATGGGTAATCGTGGGGCCAGCTAAAGAGGGCCACAGAGAATAGGACGAAGTGGAGATGTGCTGTTGAAGCTCTATGTCCCACTAGGAGCCCAAGGGAATAATAACAATAATAATATTAACTATGCAAAAACATACCTCACCAAACTGTTTTGCAAAAGTGATGGCATCTTCTTGCTTACGGAATATTTTTCTAACGCTTGTTGGACCTTTTAAACTACAAAAATAAAAAAGCAAACAAATTTACCCAGGAATTTTCTGATAAAATTACGGATGCAGTTTAGCAACGAAGTTTTGAGTTAATAACTATGCTTGTAATAGACAGTTATTACTCGAATTCCGATAAATTGAACGGTTGTTGAATCTATAAGACACTGTTTGAATTTCCACACACTAGGGCGATAAACTCTAGGTAACTTTCTGATTACAAGTGAAGACAGATTCTGAGGGGAAAAGGAGCAGTCGAAGAGGGATGTGTCGCTTGTGAAATTTGGGCGATGAAAGTAAAATCGCGATGAAACCCATATTTTAGATCCGCCTTGTGATTTGTACTGGTTAGATGAGTCTACATTTTTTGTTGGGTCTTAATCAATTTAACTTGAGTGACGATTCTAGAGCAGTAAAATCTATTTTTGAGATGTTGCCCGGGCTTTAGTGAAATCTTTTTTGGGAAAGACGGACTTCCACTTTTGACGATGGTTGCTAAAAACAACAAGGAAGTCATTACGTCTTCTGGGTCCTCGGAATACCTAAGATGAATGACTGGAGACTTTTGAAGATTTTTCAAAATGGCAACTTAATGTGTCCAATATTTCAGATCTTAAAAATTTCACTAGTCCTTATTTAACTACTCTCTTCACCACTCTTATATTTGTCTATTACAATATCGTCCTTTTCGCCCTCTTGTTTTGTGCTTTCAGGAAGTGTGATCACCTGCATTGACGCCTTTCTGTGTAGTTTACTTTGTTTTGTCAGGCATTCACTCATTATTGGTTAATTATAAAACTTCTCCCTCCGGATACAGTAAGACGAAACTAGTGTATTAAGTGCGGTGCGACTGAGAAGTTTAAGTTTTTTAGCAATAACTCCTGAAAATAGGGGTCATGATATCAGTTCACTTACTTGTATCTGGGAGATCAGCCCATAAGTTTTAACAGGTAATGCAAATTTCATTTTGTATGGCTTGGAATTTGATGAGATTCTATCATTAATATGCATACATGTTTACAGAAGGAATCACCAGTGTGACCACATTCTGACAACTTTTCAGATTATACAAATACTCAATGATTACCATCCAGTCATTATTATTCGACCCACTAATACTCTTGAACTCCAGTGGGACACCTGTTTTAGGACAAATGACACCTAACACACTATGTTGCAATAGAATTGACTAATTTTTAATTCACTTCCACAATGATCAGTGAAAATTACGTTTAGATAGGAACCCTACTAGTGATACATTACAACAGGGCGGCATTTCGTTTATCAATATTTCTATGGAAGATCTTACATTTTCAGGATATATAATTTTGAAATACACTGGGAGTTGACAGTTTGCACACTCCTAATTGACTTCATTGAGAACATGTTTGTAAATCCTTTTGCAATAAACATTAGAAGTTTGATTAACTCAGTTAAATGAAGGTGTAGTAGCACTTTTCAATTTTAACTGTAGAAACTTTTTAAATATGGAATCAAAGAACCGTCTAGGAGTACATGCACCTTACAATTCTATCAGAAAATTTAGAAGGACGATAGAATAACTGTCACTATTAATGATGTATAAAAATCCAACTCTATTTATTACCACTAATTTCAAAACACCAGTTACTTTTGTCCAAATAATAAATTATATATATATATATATATGACCAACGTACGAAGCAGGATAAGGTTGGGGTATTCGACGAACACGTGCAACAGCTGCTTCTAAATCCCACGTTCTGCGCCTATAAGAAGTTTAGAAAATAAATACATAGAGCATGATCCTATCAACTGGGTTTAAATGATTTTAACGATATCAAGTCCAAAGTCAGAGAGATACAGATCATGTACTGTAAAAGAAGATTCTAGAGCCTTGCAAATTGATACTATTGTAGCGGTAAATTATTATTAAATTATTAACCACAGCAATCATCACTCAACATTGGATGCTGACCATCACTGTTTAAGTCGACTTGTTTAGCTGAAGGCTTACGGTCAAGCATCCCCGCCATTTGGTGCTCCGTCGTGTCACGTGCGTGCACGATTACTAGCTAGCTAAGCATTCACCTCTACCCGCGATTTTGTCCCGAAATATAATACGTACTTTGGACGACAAAATCTGGTCTTTTGCTTTACCATTTGGTACTCGAAGAACGAACACTATAGAAGTTGTTGGTATAAGATCTTGCGTTAGTATAATCCGTACAACTCGCGAACGTCGATACCATCACTCCCCTAAACTGGTGAGCCCAACCACGAACTACATCTTCAATTCACACGCAGATAAACCCGGTGAGTTCGTTCCTTTTTTGTGTTTATTCTTGTACTATATTGTTATCGGCATACTTTTCGTCATGACTGATCCTACCCCCAAGGTTATTCAGATTCGCTCAACCGCCAAAACAATCCAGCTAGTACCATATTGGCCAGATAATGCTGAAACGTGGTTTCAGATTGCTGAGTCTGATTTTTGTGAACAAGGCATAACTGATCAACGTTCACAGTTCCTTGCAGTTATTCACGCCCTACCGCGGGAATTCAGCAAGTGCGTAACTCTGCAGATGTCGGTAAGTAACTCGTACGAGTTGCTCAAAGCATCCCTCCTCAAGAGAAACGTTCTCACAGATCGACAACGTCTGGATGAGTTATTTCGTAACATCGAGTTAGGAGATCAGTCAGCCGTGAGCATGCTGGCAAGAATGAAAGAGATCATTGGCCAAAGTCAGTTCGATGAAGGACTGTTTAGAGAACTATTTTTATCCAAACTGCCACAGTCAGTTCAGACTGTACTTGTGACACTTCAAGGTGTTCTCATGGATGACTTAGCTGTCTCTGCAGATAGAATTCTAGAGATAACGAAACGGCCAATTACCGAATTATACTCAGTTACCGAACAGACTTCGAGGAAGAATTCTGCAATGATAGAGTTATACAACTCCGTCCAACAGATGCTTAGGTCAAACAAGCCTAGCAATTCCTCCTATCGTCGTTCTAAATCCCCTCGACGGCAAAGCGCACGTGGACGATCTAAGTCCAACACACGCTCTCTCAAAAATCCTGACTGGTGTTGGTATCACAACACCTATGGCAAGGAAGCGAAATGTTGTCGAAAACCTTGTGATTTCGGCAAAGCCTCCAAGTCTGTGGGAAACTATCCCGCCGGCACGCGTTAGCGGCAACCGTCGCCGGTGGCACTAGCCGCTTACTTTACATCCATGATGTAATTAGCCAGACTAGATATCTAGTCGACACCGGCGCCGAAGTCAGCGTCCTTCCTGCTACAGCAGCAGATCGACAGAAGGATCCTAACTTCAACCTACAGGCTGCAAATGGAAAACCAATTGCAACCTATGGTCGGAAATACGTCTATCTGAACGTAGGTTTACGCAAACCTATTCAGTGGATTTTCCTAATCGCTGACGTCACAATGCCCATCATTGGCACGGACCTACTTAATCATCATGATTTGCTCGTAGACGTCCGCCGTAAACGACTAATTGACAACACTACTAGTTTGTCTATCAAAGGCATAACTTACGTAGGCCCCAGTTTGTCAATCGTTAAGATGAAAGCAATCCTCGATCCAACTTTTCAACCGACTGTTGACAAATATCCGGAAGTGAATTGCCCATCTAACGATCTCCCGTGTATAACCAGCAATGTTATGCACCACGTCATAACCTCAGGACAGCCCGTGACATCTAAAGCACGACGACTGGCCCCTGATAAACGGAGAATTGCCAGAAACGAATTCGATCATATGCTAACCCTTGGCATCATTCGGCCATCGAATAGTCCATGGGCATCCCCATTGCATATGGTACCGAAAAAGTATAGTAACGATTGGCCACCCACTGGTGATTACCGGCGAGTGAACGCCAAAACAACCCCTGATTGCTACCCTTTGCCTCACATACACGACTTGACGGCAACGCTATCTGGAGCATCTATATTCTCCAAAATCGACTTGGTTAAAGCATATAACCAAATCCCGATGGCAACGGAAGATATCCCGAAAACGGCTATCATTACGCCTTTCGGACTTTTCGAATTCCTACGTATGCCATTCGGCCTCCGGAATGCGGCCCAAACATTCCAACGCTTCATCTATGAAGTATTTCGCGGTCTCGACTTTGTATACGCATACTTAGACGACTGCCTCATTGCCAGTCCAGATAAGGAAACTCACCTTAGACACTTGGACTTGGCATTTGAAAGGTTACGCCAACATGGTGTTACCATCAATATCCAGAAGTGTCAAATAGGCGTTGACTCACTCGACCCAGAAGGGTCACACTATTGACTGTCAGGGCATTCGCCCACTGGCTACTTCGGTCGATCACTCTAAGAAAACGCGTTCTGGACGTCACGTTAGATTCCCAGAATACCTTCACACCTATATCACATAACTGAGTGACACATCAATTTTTTTATGTTGCATCATTTAACACGTAAACGATATTTTTCCTATAACCGTACATTAAACATGCACTTGGAAAAAAAATTAAATTAGATGTATATTTTTTTTTCCCGATATTTGAACTTTATTTTACTGTATAGTAGATGCCCGTCATTTTTTTGATAAAAAAACGCTTATTTGGTACATTTTTCTTGACAAGGTTCTCAGCATTCTTGTTTTCTTTTCCAGGTGCAACGGGCACTGGACAGGAAACAAACGAAGCACCGGATCCAACGAACAACACTGAGGAAGCTATGTACAGACACCGTATTAGCATAGGCAGACAGACCAGCAGGCTCTCCATCAAGCCGTTGGGAAGATTTTTTTCACCCATCAGGGAACCATCGAGATTTTTTTACTTCCGGCTGGTCATGTCTTAGGGTCCTCACAAACCCACTAGGGGGGGAGTGAGCTGTAGCGGTAAATAATTCCCCAAAATTATTAACCACAGCAATCATCACTCAACATTGGATGCTGACCATCACTGTTTAAGTCGACTTGTTTAGCTGAAGGCTTACGGTCAAGCATCCCCCGCCATTTGGTGCTCCGTCGTGTCACGTGCGTGCACGATTACTAGCTAGCTAAGCATTCACCTCTACCCGCGATTTTGTCCCGAAATATAATACGTACTTTGGACGACAAAATCTGGTCTTTTGCTTTACCATTTGGTACTCGAAGAACGAACACTATAGAAGTTGTTGGTATAAGATCTTGCGTTAGTATAATCCGTACAACTCGCGAACGTCGATACCTACAGCCCCCTAAACTATGCTCTTTATATTAAATTAATTCTCTTTTTCTCAAAATTATAATCTGGACACACTTATCAGGGGAGCATTTCTAAGCATTTTACTAACAGATGGTGAAAAATACTTATATGTCAGGTTGTATAAACTCAGACTAAACTGTTATGTTAGCTGTTTAACTCTATTTTGCTCCTAATATTCTTGCATATTGAGCACATCGAAACGTCCTTACTGTTAGTACAAATGTCTACTTCAAACGATGCACCTTCGTGTGAGGTTTGACATTATTTTATTTGATGTGATTTCCCCTTGAAAAACGAATGCAATTATGAAGTAATCTATGGGAAAAATAGATGAATCAGTATACATGAAACTACAGAAACCAAACAATGCTTATTGTTGGAAATATACATTATTACACTACGTGAACATTTACATTAAGCAAAACGAAAAGAACACCCTATTCAGTGACATAAACTTAGTTGAGAGAAGTAAAGACCAAAACTGAAGACCCGCACCCTCAAAGTAGTTATGTAACAATAATAGAAAGTATCAAAGCTAAGACCAAGTCATTTGCTAGTCAGTTTGCATAAAGCATAATTAAAATTTGAGGTTGAAAAACAACTCACCGCTTCATAATACATTCACATAACACTGAAATCGACTGTTCAGTTGGCGGATAATAAAGGTCGAAAAATTTTGTCCTTCAAGACGAGTGAGAGGCTAAAATGAAAAACTATGATTATTCCTAAATTTTCACAAGGATACTCAAATAAAATATCAAATGCTGCAACCTTCAACAAGGAGACTAAAGAAAATTGTTGATTGCAGCAGTATCCATTACAAGTGTTTTGTCCACCGAAAGGTACTGAGGCAATCTATTCCGATGAGAAAGATGCTGATATATGGGAAGAATATTCTACTAGATTTGTTCATGATGTCTAAAATGTTATATTAGTGCAGCAGCAACCACTGTATCAGTGACAATCACATCCGAAAAGCTCAGTAGCTCCAGATGAGGCGGTTTCAAATCATTGAGGGAGGATCTGCTGCCTCGAATTTGCAAATAAGCTCTGACAACGAGTGATCAACTAAGTAGGCCTAATATATATGAATATATATCATATATATGAGCATAAGATAGGCGCATAGGCCAAATAAACACACAACAAACGGCACGTAATGTCTTTTTGAAATTTTTAAGACTTCTTCTCAACGTGAAAAATCGTAACCCTCCCACAGCAAGCTTACCAAATGGCATATTACATAAGCGTAGTAAGTACATAGTACTCCATATTATCTCGGTAGCGGACAAACTTAAAACAGGCGCTAGACACTGAACCAACCTATTTTCGCTGTGCATATACACGCTATACATTTGAGCGACAGTTATGTTGTATTTTGATAATTTAATCATATCTTGAGGCTTTGAACTTCTGTGAATTGTACAGAATGCACATGCAATTAAGTGGACCATTATTTAGCAAAAACTACTTACAGTAACTGCTGCCTTAAAGATATCATGTGGGACGAGCCAACA